TTTACGCGGGCATAGGAGGGTACGGGAGGTGAGGCAGCCGTGTAGCGAACATGAGGGCCAAATGGCACGGCCTGTTAAAGGCACGGCCCATTACGCCGCCGACCCCGCCAGGACGGGGCCCCCAGCCTTTCCTCTTTCCCCATCCCCACCTGGCATATGGTTCCCCTACCCCCTCCCTCCGTTCCCCCTTCCCTGCCCCACCTGTACACCACTCTCGCCCCATCTGTGCTGCCGCACCGCTGCTCCAGCTGCCCCAACATCAAGTAGAACTTTTCAAAGGTGGGGAACCGCCGGATGCCCTCCTGCGCGCCGGGTAAGGAAAGCACACACCGCCGCACCGGGCCCGGGAGCGAGGGCGCCAGGCGAGGGGGAATGGGCGGGAGATGGTGTGTGTGTTTGGGGGGGGGGGTGTCGCAGGGGAGGCACACTGGGGCTCACAGCCCTAGTAGGAGCCACTCCTCGGGAGAGGCCCCCACTCACCCCAGGTGGCCAGGGAGGGACTGGGACGACAACAACACATCTGCCACCCAGCATCTCCAACAAGTACACCATCTCCATCCCACACATTTGCCAACGCAGCCACCCGGGGCCCCAGGACTCACATACAGACATACACCACCATCCTAACCTACCCGCACCCCAACGTTAAACACCTTCATTTTCCGCAGTATCTGTCCAATCCTGGAGTATCCGTCCATGTGTGGTATCCGCATTACCCGTCTGTGGTTTGGTACGTCTTCCTTCGCCTCCACCCGCACCCCCACTCACCTCCAGCAGCGCCCTCTCCTTGCCCGCGTCGCCCAGCTCCCGCTCCACAATGGCCGACTTCATCCACACGCGGGGGTAGCTGCTGGCAGCCTCGTTCTCACGCGCCTTGGCCAGCAGCGCACGAGCGCGCTCCGGCTCGTTGTTCTCAAACTCCAGCTTGAACGCCGCCAACCAAATCTGCTCCGAATCCGGATTGGCAGCAAAAGCTCGCGCCAGGATGGCACGTGAGCCGTCCACATCCCCGCCCAGCCAGGCCTCCTTGGCCGCCATGAGCCATAGGACTTCTGCCTGGGGACAGAACTGTACGGCGCGCCGTAGTAGCTCGTCCAACTGTGCCCGGCTGCCGTGCCCCTTCTCCAACTGGGCGGCTTGCCGCCAGATGTGTGGCTGGGACGGAAAGGTGGTCAGCGCCTGTGCGACAGGAAAGCGCGGGTATGTGTTTTATGTGTATGTGTGTGGGGTGCGTGTGGAAGGGGGGGGGAAAGGGAGTCGTGTGTTGATGATGCCGAGTGTTACTGAAGGGAAAGCCGGTTTCATATGCAGCTTTGGGGATTGGGCGGAGGGAAAGGGGGGAGTTGCTAGGGAAGCAAAGTTGGGGTGACTCCATGCAAGTCCTGCAAGTCCTGCGAGTCGACAGGGACAAGGATAGCGGAAAAAAACATAAGTCACCCCACCCCACCCCACCCCACCTCACCCACACAATCCCCTCCGCCCGGCGACGACATCCCCACACACGCCAATACCAAAACACAATCAATCTCACGGAAGCACATCCAAAGCCGACAACCACTCTTTTACCTCCTTCCCAGCCCCCATCTCCTCCACTCCTTCACCATCTTCCCTCCCCCTCTGCGTCCCCCTCCTCCTCTCCCCCCTTCCTTTCCGCACCTGGCTATACAGCGCCCTGGCCGTCTCCACACTGCCCCTCTTGGCCGCATCCTCCGCATCAGCCACCAACGTGGCCTCCAGATCCGCCGCATCCACCCCCAGCGAGTACACCGTTCGCACAATGGCCCGGCAGGTCAGCACGTGCGGCGCGGGGGTACTGCGCTCCGCATTCTCCGCCTCCTTCATCCAGGCGTCTCTGTGGATGACCACTCCGTTGGTGGACAGGCTCTTGATGGCTCGCGCCACGATCTTATCCACCTGGCCCTGCTCCGCGCCGTTGGCCTCCTCCAGCTTGGCGGCGGTGATCCAGATGGCGGGCTCCGTGGGTACGGCCTTGCGGGCGTTGTTGAGAACCTGCAGGCCGGAACAGGAAAAAAACAGGAAAGCGCGAGAGGGGGGAGGGGTAGGACAAACCACTGACGATTTTGAAGCAAGCAGAGTAAACCGGGAACTTTCCAGGATTATACAACACAGATACTGCATCAGGAATATTCTCGTGATATTCGTGATGAAGGGCGGAAAACATACACCATCGTAAGGGGTGGATTGAAGATAGTGCTCGTGTTGGGGAGCTGGACCGCCGATATGTGCGCATTTGCGTGTGTAGTGTGTGGCAAGGTCTGGATAGTGATCATGTCCGGTTACCTTCTCCCCCACCCTTTCAGGCCCCTCACTCCCCTTCCTCTTCGGGTTTTCTCCCCCCTCCCCCCTCCCCCCTCCCTACCTTGCGCGCGTTCTCGTAGGTCTCCAGTCTCGCCAGCGCAAGCCACAGCTCCACCGCCTGCGGACAGCACTCCACTGCCCGGCTCAGCAGGATGCGCGCATCGTCCTCTTCCGCCAGCTCCACCGCCGCCTTCCACAACCGGACACTGGTGGGGATGCGCTCCAGGGCCTACAGGTGTGCGGGGGGGGGAAATATCATGTGTGAGAAAGTGGGAAGTGAAGTGTGTGTGGGGTGTATGAGGGTTACGACGAAATATAGACGTGGGGTGGGGGGGAGTCGGCGAGGTGGGGTGGGGGGAAACGTATGCCAAGTCAGGGGGTCTCAAGGCTGTGCCTCTGCGAAGCACTCCGGGGATTTCCTCAGGGGGCTCAGGAACACACAAACACACACACAAGAGCTCAGCATCTAAAACGCACACATGAGCGCCCACCCCTCGAGAGACGGGGAGGGAGAGAGGGGAGAGGGAGAGGAGAGAGAGGCGGCAACATGCAAGGTAAATTATCGTCAAGGTCTCGCATCTTTCACATCTCCACTCCGTCCTCTGTTCTGTTCGCACCCCAACCCAGCACAGCTAGGGTGTCCTGTAACGATCCTGCAGTCCAGGTTACCGCAACCCCTTGTCGCCCAACCTCCCTCCCTCTCCCCACACCCCCCCACACGCACGCTTGCACGCACACGCGCACCTTTCTGAGCACTCGTGCTTTGGCCGTGTCGTCGGTCTCCAGCTTGGCGGCCGCCATCCACAGCTTGGTGCTCTCGGGCAGTTGAGCCACGCCGCGGGCCAACAGGGCCTTGGCGTTGTCGGGGGTCTGCAGGGTTCAGCAGGAGAGGGGTAAGACAAGCCACAGACGACTTGCAGGACCGGGTACCCCCTAAGGGGGGGAAAGGCGTGTTACTAGTTGGAAAGCAGCGAACTATGTCGACGAGAAATGAAGGACCTTAAGAGATATAATAATAATAATAAATAGCAATAATAACAACAACACTTAACTACACACACACGGACACGCATGTACCTGCAGCCTGGCCGCCTCCAGCCATATGTCCTCGCTGTTGGGGCACAGCTCACAGCCCTGCATGATGAGCTTGCGCGCATCCGCCAGCTTGCCCGCCACCTCCTCAAGCCTGGGTTGGGGCATTGGAGGAGGAGGGGGCCGCACGCGCGAGGGGGCCACTACCGCATCATCATGCACTGCTGCTGCACATGAAAGAAACCAAGTACAGTGGTCAACAAAGTTGATTTGATGTGTGAATGCAATAACTACATTAGTGTACAGAAATGTATTCCTTTCGCGGCTCTCACCTACAACTTGGCTTCCCCCACCCCCCTTAAATACCCTAATAAACATACACACACACGCATCCGTAAGACCTCAACCCCAATATACCCCAATTACCCCCCTCTTCACCGCGCTCTTTACCTTGCCGCCGCAATCCACCCCGGCGCATGTCGCGGGTTGGTCTGGATGACCGACTTGAGCAGGTGCCTGGCCTTCTTGATGTCGGAGATCTCGGCGTCCGTACTGATCTTGATGGATTTGAGATCCGTGAGGTAGCCCTTGGGATCCACCACCGTCTGACCCGTCACGGAGTCAGCCATGCGGTCCAGTTTCAGACCCAACACAGTGCCACGACCCGTACCTGGAGGCAGGGGTGGAGGGGCGGGGGAAGGGGGGAGGGGGAAGGCGGTTAGGAGAAGGGGGGAGCATGTGAAAACGGTGTGGTGGAAGGAAAAAAACCCTCGTCCAAGAGGAATGGAGGACGTATCGTGGAGTGAGGGAGGGCGGGAGGAGGGGGAGGGGACAGGTGGGAAGGTGAGCGGGAAGTGTGGAAGAGGGTCGAATCAATACGTTATACACACCTTCCCTGACGTCCCCCAGTCTGGACCGCTACCACCGCCCCACCCGCTTCCACATCCCGCAACCCTCCTCTCCTGTGCCTCTTTAAACCTAGCCCATCCCACCACACACATACACAGTTATCCCCTCGCCCAAGTTATCGCTCCGCGGTTAGCACTGATGATTCTCCCCCTGCCCCGTCCCTCCGGGACCCCCACGTCTCCCGCCCCCCACCACCAGCCCGCCTCTCACCAATGGCGGTCAGATCTGACACGGTGGATGTGGCGCCCCCCATGGGGGTCGCCAGTCCATTCAGACCGCCACCCACGGAGGCCAGGCCGCTGTTGGGGTCCAGGGACTTGGCCAGACTGCCCCCGGCCGCTGAGGCGCTGGCGGCCTCCGCTGCGGCGCGAGCGAGCAGGGAGTCGGGGACGGGCGCGAACCGCTCCATGCGGCGCTGTTTTTTGATGGTGTAGTCGCCGATCTCGGGGATGGACTGGGGGGGAGGGGTTCAGGGTTTAGGGGGAAACAGATACCGGTAAGGAGCAAGGATCCCCAGCCGACACGTCCGAAGGAGGAGGGGGGTGAAAGGGGGAGAACCCTAGGGGGAGGGTTTAGGAAAAAGTTTTGCCCAAATCTTTGCCAATCATATATATTTGGGGGGAGGGGTTTCCATTACTTTTGGAGTATTAGTTCATCCTTGGCATCAGCTTCACTCGTTCACGTGGTTCGTCGTTGTTGGGTTTTTTCTACCCCCTCACCCCCTTCCGCCCGCTCCTTCCCGCATTACCTCCCACTCCTCGTACGACACCTCAGTCAGCTTTCTCTTCAGGTCGGCGAACTGTTCCGTAATCTTGGGATTTTCCGCCCGGTACCGCTCCAACTCCTCCTTGAGCCGCTTCTCACGAGCCTCCTGCAGACCGCGGGAGGGGGGGGGGGAAAAGACGAACCACGAACGAGCGAAGCTGCTGATGGGGAGGGGGACGGGAGTTAGACTGCCAAAAGGAAACCAACTGCCGACGTTGAAGTTTGTCCAAAGTTGAGACAGAGGTAGGGTAGGGTAGGGTAGGACGAAATGAAACAGATACCCGAGATACACGGGTAGAGGGGGTGGGACTGTATTACGATGAAGCATACAAACTGCAAAATATCGACAACCAGCCGACATCCCAATCACCATTAGGACAGGACGGGGGAGCGAGGGGGGTGGGGTTCAGGTCTCATGGGCAAGACCAGCGCGGGGTGCGGGCAGGAGGAAGAGACAAACAGCACCAGGAGGGCAGGATGAGCGGGAGAGGTGCGGGGGCGGGCGGGCAGAGGCCCCGACCTTCAGCCGCATCATCCCCTCAACCATGCGGCTCCTTCCACCCCGCCCTCCACCCCGCCCCCCCTCCCCACACACACGCAAGCTGAGCATCGCTGCGCAACACCCTGCAGAAGAGGCCCTTGCAGCCCAAAGCCTTGCCATCCCCGGCCTCCAATGACTCACATCTACATCCACACACACACACACACACATATACAACCAAATGCACATGCCGCCCTCAGATTCGCCTTAGCTCTCTGCATGATATCGACCGCCCCTCGGGGGGGGGTGCGGATGTGTGTGTACGTGTCGGAGGTCCGACGCGTCCACCACACCCTCGCTCCCACCCGGGGACCTCACCGCGGTCCGGTGCAAGAGGTGGAATACGGCACAGCAGATGGGGAAGGGGGTGACAGCCGCCGCAGCAGCGACAGCGGCGGCGGTAGGGTGTGGCACGGGTGCGGGAGGAGGGGGCCCCCTCAGAGGTACGGCAGGCAGGCAGCAGCGGAGCAACGAAGAGACACATGAGGAGCTCAGTTGCCAGAAGCCTCGGAACGCCTCTCCTCTCGCCGCGACATCGCTTTCCGTTGCCTGCTCTCCCTCCTCTCGCTTAGCTGCCACCACCACCACCACGACCGCCGCCGCCGCAGCGCCGTCGCCGCCCCACCACCACCATCACCTTTCCGCTCCCCCTCAAGCCCATGGAACCCCCCGGTGTGTCGTGTCTCGGCTTACTAATTATATCGTCATCGGGCGGCGCTACAGCGATCCTAATCCAGCTGTGTGTTGTTATACGGCGCGTGCGATACGTACACAAGACACGTCACGAAAAGCGCACACAGAAGAGTCTACACACGACGCAACGGGCCCAAAAATGAAGCACCCACTGAACCGCCATGGCACCTCACTTCCTACCCACCCTCCCCACCAACCCAAATTTTTCCACTACCAACTCCCTGAACTCCCACGGACCTCCCCCATCCACCCACCCTTCGCCGCTCGTCCATGAAGTTGTCCACCGTTTCCCACACCGCGTCCGCCTCCTTATCGTCCTCGTCGTACTCCCCCGTGGCCGCGAACACACCCGCGTCGTTACCCATGAACTCATCGAACTTGGTGTCATCCAGCGCCTCCTCATTGTCACCTCCAGCCTTCGAGCCGGGGGCCTTGCGAAAGGGAAAGGAGAGGGGGGAAGAGGGGTTCTAGTATATATAGGGTGAGGTGGAGGTAAGAAGCACGTAGCTAGGATTCATCCATCCCCGCCCGCCCCCCGAGAACAAGAAAGTGCCGTGTGATTCCCCGGAGCATAAGCTAAAAGTTGTGCGGCTCAACTACTGAAAAACATGCGCACGTGCGTAGCAGCGTGACACGGTCGAAGAGGACGCACACGCATAGACAGTCTTTTTCGGTGGCAATACTGCCATCAGGCCTTCTTAGCTCCTAATTCAGTCCGCCAGCTTTCGTCCAAGGTCCCTAGTTTTAGATGAGGCCAAATATGTTGGCGCGCTCGGGCGAGCATTGACTCACCCCTCCTTTCAAAGCGTCCAAGCCGCCCGCCCGAGCAGGACCGATATCTGATCGCGTCGTGAAACCTGCTGCACCACGGCCTAGACCTGGGACGTAGCCGCTCGGTGCCTTAAGGCTGTTGAAATCCACCTTGGTGGTGGGGGCCTTTGGCATCGGCCGAGTCGGAAGGGTGTCCTCACGCGTCATCCTTTGCTGCTTAAGTTTACAGTCCCGACAGGGACAGGGTGTGAGGAGGAATTGTGATGTGCCGGCGGCGAGGACGCTGCCTTCAGATTCAGTAGCTGGGAACTCTCTTGTAAAGCCCTCCTGGGGCCCAGAGCCCTATAAGTGCCACTGCTTAAGTGTTGTCAGAAACTACAGATGACCACAGGAAATATGTAGACAGTCATTTTAAATAGGTGGACTTGAAGCTCATCGGATTGCGTTCCGCTCCTGTCAGCAAAGTGCCCTTGCCAGTAGAGAACACCTCATTGACACAAACGATTTAGGATAATGTTGACTTTTGGTTTCAGCGGAAGACGTGGTACGACACTGACGGAGGCCGATACTAATAATAGCGAACCACTCAAAATGAATTTCCAAAACGCCAGGGCTTTGCATCAGTAAAGCTAGAGAATCTGAACCTAAAGGCAGCTTGGCGCGAAGCGGTGGGCTTGTGCGGTTGCCTCACGAACAGAGCGTGTGCTGGCCCTTGGAGCGACATACTGTACAACCAAGTGAGGATCACAGTCGATATATTGTCGCCATCGTAAGGAAGCATCCAGAATGCGCCGCAGCGGCTTGCGCGCGGCTCGCTCCGGTGGTGCTGTAACGGCGGTGCTGACGCTGGCCATGATCGGTGAGTCTTCGTGGTGGTATTGGACAGTGTTTTGTCAAATTCTTACAAGTACATGCTCACAAATGGAGCAGACGTTTGGCCAGAGGGCCATCACACCTGAGGCGTGCTCTGCCACGTGTGTGGTCTGTCGAAACTCGAAATATTAGGCTGTAAACGGTACGATGCCTTGGGAGGGTAGCTGCAATTTTATCGAGTTATTGCACCTGCATACACATGAATGCAAGGTGCAGCGTACACCTTTCTTATGCGTGACGCTTCTTTGGGTCAGCGCGTCGCGTCCCTGTGCGGGGGTTGCAAGAGCTAGTGATACTATTACAGTGATCTCTTGTGATCCTCTTGTATCTTTATATTGACTGAGAAGTATACAGGAGTATACAACCAAGGAACCAAGGTGGAGTTGCAGCTGTGACTGGTACGATTTGCAGAAGTTTTGAAGCAGTTTTCACCACGCTTGGAAGCCGCCTGCTGTGAGATTCGTATGCTGTCCCTAAATATCAAAGAGTTTTGTGGATGGCGTGATCCAAAGAGTAACTGCCGACGTGGAATAGCCTGCAGAATGGCATTGCGGCAATAGCTTTCCGTCGCAGGTCTACCTCTCTGACTGCATGGTTAAAAAAGGTGACATAAGACAGCGATGATAAATTTACGAAAACAGGCCAGCGAACCATCGGACCTCCACCCTGTTCACCGAACATGACATAAAACGGGTCTCCCTGACCTGTTAAATTTTTTAAAACTTGAAGTCAAATCGTCAAGGCGAGTGCTTTGAAACTCAAGGTTTCGCTGCTAATGCCTTTTGTCCACACAGGCTTGGTGGCAGGCTTTGCCACAGCAGCCATCACGCTGACCGGGGGAGAGTCCGTACAAGGCATTTCCGCCGACAGCTCTGTAAGCTCATCTGGCGATCACCCCTACGACCCGGCCAGCAGCAGCAGCGACCTTGATGCGAAGGGCAAAAAGGGTGAGAGTGAAGAGCAGTGCCACACAGAGAGCCACGCGATATAGCACCTATTCGGACCGCCCTTCGATCTGAATCTGTATCATTGCAAATAAATAGCTGCTGATCGAAAGCCTATTTCTATTTTCCTCGCATGGTCCCCGCGGTGAATCCGTTGTCCTGATCTGTACTTAATCTCTTCAAGTTTCCTGCACGCTCATGTCGCGTTTTCCTTAATGACGTGCTTATTCTTTGCCGTATTCCTTGTCATACCCCGCCGTACCAGGCAAGCTGCCTTTCCGTACCGGTTCCATCGTGCGCCTCGTATCGCCCGGCTTGGAGAGGGCCTGTGACGTAGCCTCAGACCCGGCCCCGTACGGCCCGTACGGACCTGGCGGTGACACGCCATACAGCCCTGGAGGCGGCGACGACGGCGGCGGCTGGTGGGCCCGTCGAAGCTCGCTGTCGTCCGCCGGCAGCGATGGCGCCTCTCTGGGTCGCAAGGGCGGCAGCGACGGCGGCGGCGTGGGTGGGGCGTACGACTACGGCGGCGGCGACGACGCCCCGGCTTTTGTTTGGTGTAACGCGACCATTCCCGACGGCCCGCCGCAGCCATATCCCAGCGGTGGCGGCAACAGCGGCAACAGCGGCGGCATGCTGACGTGGATGGGGTCACTGGCGGCGGCCGTGATCGATGCCGCGGCGACGGCTCTGGGTGTCGAGGATGCCGTACGGCCCGGCGGCGGCAACGACGTTGTGCGCAACTCGCAATGGGATTTGGTGAGTTACGGCTGCTGCTGCTGCTACTACTGCTGGGGCAAAATCCTTCCGATGGTTTAAGGTAGAGTGCCCCTAGTCGATGGACGGTGGTGACCTGGGATAAAGTCGACTCGCGAGCCGACCAGGAATGGAGTTGGGCCGCCGTCGATCCGGCAGATTCCGTTGGATGCTGGTGGTGGGTGCGGAACCTGAGCGATCCGCTGAGAAGTTGACTAGGGTGATTAGATGAGGGTGTGCCCCGAAATACCGGGGAAGGCAGGGTCTCGCAGGGTAGCTGCCACGGGTGAAGATATGCCCCCCTGTCCCACACATCATTCATACATACATACATACATACATACATACATACATACATACATACATACATACATACATACATACATACATACATACATACATACATACATACATACATACATACATACATACATACATACATGCCACAACTACATGCATGTGCGTGTGTATGATTGACTCCTTCACAGCCACGTGGCAGCACAGCACGGGGATGGGCCCCAGGGGTCGGAGGGCCAACCGGCCCCAACCGCCCTTACAGCGCCATGTTACATTTTTCAACAACACCCAGTTCAGCTTCAGGTTCCAAATCCTTGGCTGCACACGACTCCTCCACACAGCCCCCCACCCGACCCCTTCTGCCGTCAGGACGGTTTCGTGCTGATGGGCACCGACTTCCAGACTGCGGACATGTACAGCGGCGGCCGAGTGTTCTTGAAGAACCAGAACAGCAGAAAGTGAGACAACCACAGATGTTTTCATCTGTAACTGTAACTGTGTATACATGTATGTATACATGTATGTATGCATGTATGTATACATGTATGTATGCATGTATGTATACATGTATGTATGCATGTATGTATGTATGTATGTATGCGTGTGTGTATGCATGCATGTATGTATGTATGTACCCAACATTACACCATGTTTTACGGGCATACATACGTGCATACGCGCACATACATACCCACAAACACTCTCGCAACCCCGCTACCGCAGGTTCTGCCGACTGGCCGGCTCTAAGGACGATGGCGACGATTTGGACGCCAACGCCTACGGCGGCCCCTCCCTCACCCGCCGCGGTGGTGGTGCCCCGCCGTCTTCCCCGGCTGCCCTGGTGTGTGACGAGATGACCAGCAGCGAGCTAACCGAATTCGTGGTGGAGCTGGTGCAGGAGGATGAGGAGGAACAGGCGGTGGCTAGGATGCAGGACGACCAACAGGACGAGCAAGATGAGCAGGACGAGCAAGGTGAGCAGGGCGAGCAAGATGAACAGGACGAGCAAGATGAGCAGGACGAGCAAGATGAACAGGACGGGCAAGATGAACAGGACGAGCAAGATGAACAGGACGAGCAAGATGAACAGGACGAGCAAGATGAACAGGACGAGCAAGATGAACAGGAGGAGGAGCGGAGGCGGCACGGTCGGCGGCAGCGCCATGTCCGTGAAGTGGGACCTGTTGGGGCGCAGGAGGGCGCCACGCGGCCCGGCAGCGGCGGCGATGTTGACGGTGACGTTGACGTTGACGGGCCCGGCGGTGATGGTGGCGGCCAGTGGCCAGATGGCCGCGGCGGCGGGAAGGACGAGCGGCCTGACGGCGGCGACTCTGGCAGCGGTGGCGGCCATTGGCCTGGTGGTGACGGTGGCAAGGACGACAAGGATAAGATATCGGTGCTGGTGCGGCTTCGTGCGCCACAAAACGGCATGAGGTGGGCTGGGGGCTGATAAGGCAGGGGCCGGGGGGGCCAGGGTTGTAAGGCAACATGGGGGTGGGCGGGGGGCCGGGGGGCCGGGAGAAGGGAAGTATACCAATAGCTCGTGTGTCTGTGTCTGTGTGTGTGGGGGGGGTGGAAGAGCCGGTGTGCTGGAGGGTTATTGGGGAGTGGCTATAAGCTGTTCTGTTTTTACGATTGCGGCTACTGCTGCTGCTGCTGTAGTTACTGCTACTGCTACTGCTGCTGCAATGTCGTGAAAGCCCGCGCAACAGCGACTGTTCAACAACAACGGTTTCGGTATCTAAAGATAAAGTACGCCATGCTGCACAGGTACTGCGCGCCCGACCGACGGATCCGCGGCTCCCCCGTCATCTGCGACCTGCGCCGCCCCGACGCCTCCCGTCGCCGCATTACAACTTTCCGACTGGTCGACGCGGTGCCGTCGTACCCGTACCCTGCGGGAGCGCCGGACTCTGACGGCGCTGACGGCGCCGCCGTCGCCATCCAGGCATCTTAGCTGACCTAGTCCCAGGGTGGCGGCACCAAGGGGGGAAGGGCCGGCAGGGAGGTGATTGGTATAATTGGTGAGATGTGGTCGAACAACCTTGCATGTCACTGTAGCTACTGCCACTGCTACTGCCACTGCTACTGCTACTGCCACTGCTACTGCTACTGCTACACAGTCGCTGCTCTTTGCAGCTGCAGCAGTCCAAGAAGGCAGGGAGGAGGCGCACACCCGCACTGGGGTTGAGCACAACCGGATGTGGGTCGTTGGAGGTCGTTGGGGTTCGTTGGGGTTCGTTAACGTCGCATGATGTGCCATCTGCCGTGTCGTGCTTGCGCATGGTCATCTTGGTTCCGGAAGCTTCATGATATGAGGCGGTGGGAAGAGATGGACTGTGTGATCTTGGTGGCCTCTGACTGCGAGACGTTTGGAAATAGAGGAGGAGGAGGAGGAGGAGGAGCGGGGGAGGACGTAACAGCTGCAGAAGAAGAGGGAAAAGCTGTGGACATCATGCCAAGCTACTGGATTGGCATCAATAGTTAGTCGTCTTGTTTTAGTTGACTGCAGCTCTGCAGCTGTATGTAGAGAGGCTTTTGCCATGATAATCATCATCATCATCCGTTTTTGAGTTTGAGTTTTCTTTCACACGAGCCCCATTGTTTAGCGGCGGTCAGGCAGATCCGGTGGGGGCGGTTGGCGGTGCTTGATGCCGCCCCGCACCCCACCCCGGGTGTGTTGTGTCCTCAACAGGTGAGCTGCCGCCGCCAACCGTGCGCTGCACATTATAGCCGCATCAAGGCCCGGGGGCCCGCCTCGCCCGGTCTCAGGGGTCTCCGGATCCCCAGGGAGGTTCCGGGCATACACACAGCATGGAAGGTATGACGCGGTATCGCATCCTGGCAAAGTGGTGTGTTTTTGCTGAGTAGCAGGTAACCGCGATGTTGCACGGCATACAAAGGGCTCGGTAGTGCGGTAGATAGTCGTCTCCCGCCGCTTATAAATTGCATGTCTAATGCATGTATATACGTTGCCTTACGGTTGTTAGTTAAGAAGTTCGTTGATATTAAGGAGTAGCTAGGTAGTCTGTTATTCCGTTGTACAGTTTAACCTACCAGAAACAGGAATAGGAAATGCTGTGGGTGGTTGTCAGTTGTTTTACGTTGTTGGTTGGCTGTCCGAATGGGCCTTCCGGGGGTTGGGTGGACCTGCCTGTGGTTGGGTTGCAGTTGGAAGTTGTACGCCCCCCCGGGGGAGAGGGGCGTGTGTATTGCCGTGGTGGGAGCGGAGGCGGGTGCGGAGGGAACGACGCCTTGGGGTGTATGTGAGCTATCCTCATAGCCGCTTGCCCTACAAAATTTTTAACCTTTTTAACTCCAATTTTGAAGGCTGAAAAATGGTCACACGCTCTACTCTAATGCTGCTTGCGTGGGGGCCCGTTGTAGCCTTGTGCTTTGAGACTTGGGTACAAAGATGGCAAAGAAAATGTTGTCGTTTAAATGCTATCCGGGCGATGTACCACCAGCCAGAAGACCACTTCGACGTCGATGTCGCTTTTCCTTTCTCTCACTCTTATTGCTATCTTTGCTTGTTCTTTAGCACCAGCTCTTGGCGTGTTAATAATTGATCAGCGGTCTGGCGCTGGTTTGTTGGTTTGTTGTGCGGGCCCCCAAAATAATGTCCGCAAATGGCCCCGCAAACAATTAGTCAGTTGGCATGGTTTTGGTTGAGGTTTCATAGGTGATGTTTGGTTGGTTGGTTAACTGAATTGTTTGCATATGTACGGGGCAAGCCACAAAGGAGGCTATGTTGGGAAGGTTTTAGTAACTTAGGAATGGCAGTCGAATCGTATGTAGCTTTTGGAGCACTGCTGCTGCTGCTGCTGCTGCTGCTGCTGCTGCTGCTACAGTCGTGCATAGGTCTATAGATGAGCTAGGCGGCTATACCGTTGCTCGTTGAGTTCACTTTTGTTGTGGCTCACACACATTCGTTTTTATGTAGCCAAACGGCTGAAGCTATCGCCGTAACAGAACCTAACAGTCCCATGTGGCTGGTAATGGCATGTAAGTAGTGGTGGGGATCGCGTCCTTGTTTGCTATTGTTGGCTGGTTGGAGGGAGGAAAAGCTCGTTGGAGGATCGTACTGAACAAGTGGTACGGAATCCACGAGTAAAACAGTAACACCAGTAAAACCCTAAGTTTCCAAAAAGCTTTTAAAAATGTTTTAATGAGACATTGAAACTGCGAAATGATTTGTAACATAAAATCACGCCTTACAGCTCTAATCAGCAGAAGGTATTCTTCCAATAGATTTTTTTAAGAGCACTGTAACATCCCGTCATTACTTTATCATCACAGTCTCCAAATTACGCCGCGGGATAACGGGAAGCGGCGGCGGAGGAGCCACACTTCCCTAGGGCCTTTACACAGCTCACGTCACACACGCACACGATTGGAAACCATACGAAAGGTTGCCGCGATCTTCTTTTTAATCCTGTCCTCCTAATCGAATCCTCCGGCGCATCATTCACTTTCTGCGGAACCAGTGTGCTCCCATTCCCCCGGGATTCACCGGGGCGCCCTTTTGCTTTCCAAAGTTGTCATTGAAGAGGAACACATTTATCATGTTGCTGTTATGCTACGGCACCGCTTCGGTTAGTACGATTCAAAATAGGATCCACGTGTACGATGTCGTACGCTTGTATCGTAATCTCATCGTTCGCTCATTCAAGCACATGTTTTTGTGTGGGGTAATATATAATGGATCCAGAAGTAGTGTAGAGAGTTGCAACTTGCTGCGGACCTTCACAAAAGTTCCATTTCCTCGGCACGCCGCCAAAGCACCTCCACCTTGAGCTCGTCCCCCGCGACGGGAAAACCGCAACATCCCCGAAACAACGAAAACCCAACAGCTCATGCGATCGCGGAGCAACACACTCAGCACAGCACAGCACGGCATGGCCAGCAAGGGTAACACATTTCGAGCAACAACAACAACACAATATGCAGCATGTTGACCCTGATGACGCATAACGAGTCATAACACCCATGACTGCATACACCTGCACACACCGGCCTAGCAGCTCGCCTGCCCTCGCCCAAGGGCGCCTGGGGAGAGAGAGGGGTGAGACCTCACCCCTCACCCCACCCTCATCCCCACCTGCCACCCAGGACCTGCATCTCGAAGCACCTGCAGTACACCTGCCACCCGGCTACATATTCCCCCCTCAGCGCCGCGGGGCTCTCTCCCAGGCGCGTCGCAGGTCCATGCAGACATACACACACACCACAATCTCTGCATGGATCGCCGCGACACACGTACATACATACATACAAATACATAAATGTGTACGCCAACGCATGTACACAGGCCCTCACGCTCCGACACTAAGCGGCAAACTGCGTGTGCTGAACCTTCCACTTCTCCTAGAAAGGGTTCCACCCAGGGGACAACCACCACCACCCACCCACCCACCCACCCACCAGCTTCGGAGCAGCGAGATCTTCTTCTTCTTCTTTCCTTTTCTGCTTTCCTGTAATGTCCCCTTTCCTTCGGTTGCTTTTTCTTTTTCTTCTTTTTCTAATATCATGCGCCCCCCCCCCACACACACAACATAACGAGGCGCACGTGAGAGTCCTCTCTCCCTCCAACGTATTTGTCATGTGTTGTCGAGTGCGGCGGTGGGGCCACGTGCTCTGGTGGGCCCTATGCCCCCTTCAACCATCTGGCCTGAGAGGCGCGCACCACCACTGCCACGTCGAACCGATATATGGTCCATGCGCCGCTCTAGGTCCCAAACAGAAGAACCCAATCTCCCCTCCCCTCCCCTTCCTGTCACACGTGGACGTCCCCGCCCCCTCCTCTCGATGTACGAACGGATGTACGACAAACCACCGGCCTCCTTTATGATATGAGGATGCAGGGGTGAAGTCTCATGTGAGGACATACATACATACATACACACGCCACACGCACATGTCTTTTGTCAGAGCTGATACGCCACGAGGCGGGTCGTGGGGCAGGAATGGGCGGGCGGGGCGGGTTGTGGGTGGGGTGTGGAGAAAGCCCGTGAACTCCCCTGAGCGCGTGGCTTCATTTGCTTCGTCATCGCGAGGTAACCTAACACCCACCACCCCGGCAAGCGGGCCTCAGAAGGGGCCAACCCCACAACACACACACACACACACACACACACGGGGAGGACAACAACACGCCGTCGCCGGCAGTAGCAGCAGCAGCAGCGGCAGCACTTCTAACTGCAACTGTAGCATCAATATGCGGGAAGGGACGCGCCCCCAGTTCAGCCACAACCGCTCCTCTGGCGCTATGTCGCCCGTCTCTGAAGATTAAAATCAGCCTGCGCGAGCCTGCGAGCCCTCCTGTACGACTTTCATTTTGCCTGTCTGTATATCCGTCTGTCTGCCCTCGGCCAAACCAACCCACCAACACAGCCCCCTCTCCGCAGAACTCCCCCACCACCCCGGGGGCGGGGGACTGTGCGACAGACAGACGAACAGCGACCGGCCTGAGCTGCGGGGACCCTTGTGCCGTACATACACATATACATAGACACACACACAGAAGGTGTGTAGACATGGAGACAGCGCTAAGTGCTGTTGGTCGTACATGACCGGCCGGAAGGGGGGAGGGGGTCCTCGGGTGGCTGCGGTGTCGACCCCCGCCACAAACACACATACATACACAGCTGCTGCCTCACAGCGCGTCTGGGTTAGCGCCCAGCACGTGCCCCACTCCGAAGGTAATCGCCATCGCCAGGCAGCCGCCCAACACCACCTGGCGCGAGTGTGTATGTATGTATGTATGTATGTATGTATGTATGTATGCATGTATGTATATGTGTGTATATGTGTACGTGTTAAGAGGAAGGAGGAAACAGCGGGTGAAGGAAGCCGGGTGAAGGAAGGGGTTTGAAGCACCCCAAAACCCGCCACCCTCCCTCTCACCTCCCGGCGCATGTTCACCCACCCTCTCTTTAACAAACGTAACCCGCACTCTTGACACCCCCCTCCCCACCGCCCCACACTCACCCTCAGCGCTCCGACAATGGGTTTGGCGCCCCCCAGTAACGCCCCCACCAGCCCGAACAGCGCCAAGCCGACCAGGGAGGCGACCGCCACCGCCACCAGCCGCATCTGGGGCTCGGGCAGGAAGGCGCCGGCGAGCAGGGGGATCAGGGCGCCTGGGGGCCCGGGGGGAGGGGGATAGGGGGGGGGGAGAAGGGGTTTTAGGGGAGGAGGATACATACATACACACATACATAGTTACATACATACGCAAGCAACCCCCGAACGCGATACAAGGAAACGCATTTGGCACATTATTGCCGTGCGTACGGCGTACGGATCCGAACCCTGGGATGGTGATGGCGGCGGCGCGCCGCGGGCCCCCTAACCCACCCGCGGTGAAGGCCAGCGCCGAAACCACGGCGGCTTGGAGCGGGTTGGCTAGCTCGTCCATGTCAATACCCAGCTCGTCCCGCGCGTGGGCACGAATCACGTCCTGGGGGGAATGGCGTTGATGCGGGGTGGAGAGGGAGATGTCGTACATGCACATACACACATATACAGACAGACAGACGTGAAAACAGAGCGACACACACTCCCTCACCTCCTGTGTGCTGTTCAGATACCTTCAAAAACACGAATGCTGGGCCCCCTCCATCAGCGCATGTATAAAGATTTGCCCTCCGTTATGCCAGGGAGGGGTTCGCTGGGGACGTGTCGTGCTAGTCGGTACTCGGCCCCCCCCCGCCCCCCCTGCCCCC